CATGCGCCGCCCTGCCGTATGCACCGACGGGATTCATACTAACCTTGACTTTGCACCATTGTACTCTCATAATCTATTAAACACTGCGAAATACTAAATTTCCTACTATATATCTAGACACACAGATGAGTAACTCAAAAAGGGGTAAGTTTTTCATTAAAAATTGGACCACATGTTGATACTACAAGTCACCCGCTTCCTCGATCTTCGACCTTCCCTCTCCTAGATCAGTGCTGTTGAGGATCATATACAATTTTGTAAATAAAATAATTGATAACTTACAGTTCAAGAACGATCCAGTGTAAAAAAACTTTTAAAACATTTACTAAAATTTGTATCTATCCCTATACTTTGTTAATTAAGTTACTGTTTGTTAAACAACGCATACGTAAAAATTTAGGTAATAACAAAATCTATTTAGTAAAATGGTAACGTAAACAACTGCGCCTGTGACTGACAAACATGAGTGACATTACATTTAGACATTTGGATGACATATTTTTTTTCTCAGAGGCAAACGAACTGCGATGATTCAAAGGTTACGTTACTTCTTAGAAATCCCAAAAGATATGCTAGTCTTTTCGAATGATGGATATACACGTTCCAGAACTTTCATTCAGGTAGTACGCAGTTGGGCGTCGTAAGGCGAACAGAAGGACTACAGTACAGGTCTGCGACATATATCTCACGTATGCCTTGGAGGGGGGGGGCTAGTAAAAAAGGGGGCGACGCAGAAGTAGCGCCCACATTGGTGGTAACAACACTGACGAGTTGCAGGTTTTTATGCTTATTTTCTTTTCAGTTTTTTTTATAAAGAAGGGCACATCGCCTGGTACATATTGATCCGAAGCGCAAATACGTTCTCGTCGTTTATGGTATGAAATTTGTGGGCGCTTTTCTTGAAGACCCTTAGTCGTAACTGTTTGTAAATAGCGCACAGGAGAGTTTTCTACAGCCGCGCTATTTGAGGTAGAAGGTTACGTAAATTTTCGACGAATCTGTACTAATATTATAAATGCGGAAGTTTAAATGGATGGATGGATGTTTGTTAGTTTGAAGCCTTAACGGCTGAACGGATCTCGATGAATTTTGGCATAGACGTAGAGGATAGTCTAGAAGAACACATAGTCTACTCACTTTTGTTTTTTTTTACTTCTACGCAGACGGTGTCGTGGGCGAAAGCTAGTAATAAATCAATAGGTTAATTGCATTTAGGAAGAGGATGTTTAAGAATAAAAACCAAATTACAATATAAATGATTTTATTTACAATACTTTATTTTTATGTCTTGTAACACGTACCTCGCTATGTAATGTACAGTTACGTTACAAAATGAAATTTTATCCTTAAGAAAATAATTCCTTCGGATATATAATAGTTGCCGTTTACAATGTAATACAGTTATAGAACTGGTTGATAACCAAGTTTGTGAACACGCGTATTTGCAGTAGTACATTCATCACAAGAGAGCTAACCTAACCTAACATCCCACATATGAAACTTTATCTTACATTGAAATCCTTGTCTAAGATATGATTATATTAAATTATAATTGTATTTGTGAACAAACTGCACTGGAAACACACGTGAGTTCAACATTTTAGGTTCAGCTGTGTATCAAAGATCAGGCGGAACACAACTGGTGCCATTCTGCTAATGTTATATTATTTATCTCTGTATGTATTCTACTTATTATAGTTGTTGCATATGTAATACATTTTCCCTTCAATTTTAAAACTATTTGTAATTTTGAAATTAGTTGCTATACAAATAGCAAATTATTCTCAAAGTATATCTGAATATATGAATACGATAGTACATTTTGTTAATAATAGAATTGGGTTCAGGAATACATTTTCACAACACATTCTATTTTAAAAATATCTAATGTACACATTTCTACAACAATTACAACATTTACATTTACACAAACATATCCGCAACAAACACACACGCGGACATCGCGCCTCGCGGCGAGACTTCGCAGTTATTCGAGAACTTCTTACAGTCTACTTACACATATGTGACGTCATCGCACACTCAAATACTACATATACTAATACATCAGTTTGAATTCGATATGTTGCCTTCACGATACATGGGACCTCCCCCGACGTCTACCACATGTACTGGGGTAGAGCGTCAGTTCCGAGCAGTCAGTTTGTGCTTAACATAAATGCGGGATCACGCGGGAGTCACAACTTGCAATAACTTAATATTATGTTTAAAACTTTAAACGTAAAAATTATTGTTCCCGGTTCGCCGTGAGTCTGAGTACGTGCGTAGCGCAGTGCGGGGCGCGGGGCGGGGGCGGGG